GTAAAAAATTCTACTGATATTGTTGCCAACTACAAATTCCTGCTATCATGACATTGGTATGTATCATCATATCATGATTAGAAAAGCTAGCTGGGCAGGGAGGATTTTTAAAAAAGCTACATTTAAAGCTTCATTTATAGCAATAAAAATTGTAACGTGAATATTGCTTCATATTTTTAAAGACTGAAGCTTAACTTTAAGGACTACCAAATGGCAAAGCAGTGTAGAAGTCCAAAGCTAGTTTATTCAGGGTGCTTAAAACCCGATTCAAAACTGTCACTACCTCTAATTAAAGGATGGAAAGTTATCTCACCACAGCGCTGTTGTCTGTTTCATGCCATTGTTGCCATTGCAAATCAACATTTCAGGGCTGGAGTCAACAGGTCCTTATTAGAGGTGACACGGCTATGCCTCTGTTGTAGCTGCTGGATGTTTCATTTACATTCTGCTGTCCCTCTTTGTGTTTGTGTGTGTGTAATGGAGTCTGTTATTTGAATTACTTCAAGGCAGGCGCTGACCTTTACCTTTTCTCAGGGCAAACTATAGTGTCTCAAACCATGTTGTCAGGAGTATATGGAGAGGAATCTGTTGTATGTGCTTTGTATGGACAGAATGTAGACTGTATGAATGTCGATAGGGCAGCTTAGTCACTCATTGATCATGAAGGTCTCCAGAGTGTGCCCTTAGTTGAATGCCATAGCTTGTGCAGTAGCTGCATCCTTGAGCAGTTTTTCTGGTACCATGTACATTGGGGCGTCCCAGTAATTTAAGTTATGGGACACATGTACCCAGGTTAAATGTGGATGAGGTCAGCCAAGTAAAATCAGAAACACCTTTTTTTTTCTCCACAAAAAAAGGAAATGGTTAGCCTGAGAGGTCTTAAGAAACATACATGTGTTTTCTAAAATATGTCTCAATTAATTGGCATTCATTTACTAGTCTACTGTCATTATGAAGAAACTCTAGTTTCTTTATAAGATCACTGCACTAACCGCCTTACTTCAGTGTGGCAATTGCACATCCATTCACCATTGCTCTCTTAAATGTGGGAACCAAAATAACAAGGGAAGGGGTTGTTGGAGTCTTTACTGGTCAACAATTTCAAAATCCTGTATTGGTTGGGCTCTAACAGTATTAATGTAAGGCCTCCTAATACTGATCATTCAAGTGTGACCGTTCAATGTTAATAAGTTTTTACTTCACACCATACATTTTTGGGGATCTCAGAGGATTAAAAAGTTGTTCCCAAAAGCAGTATGTTGATACAACATAGAACATCCTTGATGTATTTACAGTTTTTTAATTAAATCCTATTATGTGTGAGTTATTGGTGTGTTTTTGTTTTTGACAGTAAACTAAAATCAGATTTTTGACATCTAGGATGAGGGTTTGTTGGTAGGTATGTATGGGTATATTTGCATAATATGTCTGCAGTTTTCCACTGCACATTATTCACTCTCTCAAAATAACCTTATCATAAGGCAGGTTTAGGCTGTTCCATATGGATGGCATCTGTATATGACAGGTCTTGGAGCATCAGAATGTAAATGTAAGCAGCAGTTTGTGTGTGTATCAGCAACTCTTAGGAGGATGTGTAGATGTTTTCCTAGTTGGTTCTAAAATAATATATGCATGCTTTTACAGCTATTAAACTCCTTCCACAGTCATTAACTAAAGGAGTTCTACTGTGTGTAATGGAAGAAGTGAAATTCGAAAGTCTTTTTGATGTGTAGTGATATTTTTTTATTCTTAGTGTCAGTTTTTGAGCCTGTTGCTGAAAACTGAGTTTTTATTTGAATTTTTATTTTGTTACAGTTTTCTGACTGTTCTGCCGTAGACCTGAGTGTGGGAAATTTTATTTAGAACCTTAAATGTCAAGATGAATGGTATTGTCTAGTTATGATATATTTTATTGAAGTTTCTGTTTTCACAACCCCTTTCTGAAGATTAGTTGCTGACTTTCCCCCCCAGAACAATTAAAATGTCCAGTATTCTCTACAAAACACAGTTCTTTGTGGGTTTAAAAAAACCAAAAAAACCAAAAACCTGTGTCCAGTGTAAACCGGGATGTGTAAGAGTGCTATCATTGAAAATGATTTCTGCCCACCAAAACAAGAAGGAAGGCATCAGGGAAATTAGATAAGAAGAAAATTAGTTAACTGATACTTAAGTTTTACAAAAACTCTTGTATTATATGTTGTAAACAAGAGTTAAGTTTTGTCGATCCGAAATAGCGTAATGTTCATGTGAAAACCTACAAAGCTAAAATTAAAGTACATTAATACTAATTTTGTCTTATTCAAGCTTGCATGAAACAAACTGTCAGTTTGGTAGAGTTAGTGCTAGCTAAACTGGTTAGTTTAAACTTCTAATGATCAACTATGTTGGTTCAGAGCAGCCACGGCGTTCATGGTCAGTTTGAAGTTGCATCACGGCATCAGTTTAAAGTGATGAAGCTCTCTCGTTGAATTCTATCTTTTCTACTAGCTTCTTGTGTTTAAGGATCAGGACACGGAGATACAGCTTGTGAAACATCTACTTATATCTTGATGAATTCAGTCTGCTAAACCCAAAGATCAATGAATATCGGAGTAGTATCGCAGCCTAATAAAAACTAATTTACTTATAAGTTATTATTTTTTCCGTGCTGCACTGCTACATCCAGTCCTAGGGTTTCATCATCTGTCAAATCCCACTTTAACTCCTGCTTGTACGTCTTTCACCTGAACCAATATTTATCTTTATCCGAATTAGGCAGTCTTATGCTGAAAATGACTGTGTTGTGCTATGAGCAGAGATGTATTGTGAAGGAATATTCTGGTGTGTACACTGTGGCCGGTGTTTTATCAGGCTGTAGGTGGAGATGGAGGGAAAGACAAAAACAAGGAGGGTAAAGTGGAAGAGGTGGTATTTATGTTAACATGCTGGTTGGAAGGAAAAGGATTTGTGTGGTCTGTTGTGAAGAGTAATGCCATTGCGCAAGACCCCACCTCAACAGCCTGTATCCCTCTTGTCTTTTCTTTCTCTGCCCCTATAGTCTCTCCTCTCTTCTCTTTCTCATTCTATTTACTTTTGTCTCTGGCTCTGACTAGTCTGGAATCCCAAGAGATATGCTCTTTTTCATTTATTCTATGCCTACACCTTCTTCAATCTATTGCACCACATGTCCCTAGACTCCCTTTTTTTCTATACTTGGTATGAATACTGTACAGGTGAGCGTGCGAGCAAATGGTTATCTGACTTTTCTTCAATTTGCCATACATTATCATTTCATTTAAGTAATTGTACGTACACATTTAGAATGCATTAGTCCCCACTGCTGATATAATGCTCTTTTCCATAGTGTGTGCTTCTTTATTATAGCTTTCCTTTGGGCTTTCAGTTGTTACTCTGCTTTCGTTGATACCATAGACTACACACACACACACACACTCCAAACCCTTTCTCCTAATAATATGGTGTCCAAACAACTAAATTGCGGTCTCAGTTGTGTTCACAATTTTGACAAAATCCTGATCTGCTTTTTATCTCGTTCCATTAACGTTAAACTAAGCTATTGGTGTTTGTTTTTTGCTCTACCGTATTAACCCCCCAATTTTTTTTGACTTTTGCTAGTTTTCTTTAGTCAGCTATGATTCAGTTAGACTACTGTAAGTCCACACAGTATTCATATCTAACCTGTGTTAGCAGCAGATCAGGTATCTGGTGCATATGAAAAAAATGCACTTGTCAGAATAAAATTACGCTGGCCTACACACCACCAAACGCACAGTGCTGTTCACACTCGCACAGTTTCTTGCCATTTGTCAACCCCCTCCACCTCCTTCCCCCAATATATTTCATCATGGTGAGCCAAGGCATCGCTAACATGCCAGGTGAGTGCTTTCTCTTGTTCACTGGCTCTCACTGTCAGGGAGAGATTATATATTTATTTCTTTTACCTTTTCCCGTGACAGACCCAAGTGCTTCAATTTTCCATTTGCTTGGAGAAAGTGACTGCACAAAACCTTTGGACTCCGTAAGCTATCACTGCTACACAGAGCCAGCGTTAGCATGGAAGGTGGATCATGCGGTGGTTAAAAATGGAGAAAAACCTCTGACCCCCACAGCACATGTAGTATATCCAGCACATCCTTACAGAAAGAGGCCTGGTTAAGCTGCCGGTGCTTTTCTCATTCATTCAACCTGAAACACTGTTATTTATTTGAATTCGAAAGAAATAAAACCCATCTCACATTGGATCACCAGACTCATGTTCCTGACCCACTAAGTCTGCCTCAAAGAAGACGCACAAACAAAGGGTACCTAATCAAACGACCCTCATTCCCTCTCGTGTTCTGATACAAGTTGCACTTGAACACACCATTGATGCTCTGACTGCCTAAGTAGAAACATTGCCTGCTGTAGGTTAAATTAAAATTGGACTGGTTGGTGCTCAGAATTGCTCTCAACTAAAGTTCAATTTTAATTACCTTGTTGACTTGTTAAGTGAAAACATTTGACATGTTTTCTTGGTGCGTTCTTCTACATCACATCTTTCCTAAAGTATTGTTCTTTTTTCTTTTTTAGCTTTAATCAGATATTGTTGGCTGTGCTTAAGAGACTATGTCCAAGTAAATATCAATTATATTGTCTAATAGTGGTTTCGGATCTGCCGGGTGACTGGGGCTTTCTGTGTAGAGTTTGCATGTTCTCTGCAGATATTCGGTCTTCCTCCCACAGTCCAAAGACTTGGTTGTTTGGTTAACTGCTTATTCAGACTTGGCTGTAGGTATGAATGGTTGTCTCCCTCGTAGCCCTGTGTTATACTGGTAACCTGTCCAGAGTGTACCCTGTCTCTTGCCTGCAACCCTGAATTGGATAAGCAGTTAAGAAAATGGATGGATTGATTCCTAATCTGATTCAATCATTCACTGTGTTGATGACTATCAGAGTATCAGCAGACACAATGCTTTCTTGAGGCCATATGATAATGTTGAATGTTTCTCTTCTCTACACAGCGAAGAAGACGTGCGCAGCCACAGATTTCACCTGTAAGAATGGACAGTGTCTTCCTGCTAGGTGGCGCTGTGACGGAGAAGTAGAGTGCGCAGACGGTTCAGATGAAGCCGATTCAATCTGCAGTAAGTAGCAGCACAGCCACACTGACTGGGCAAACTGTGAGCAAAGTCAGTTTTGTCAGCACATATGCACGCACACACACACACACACACGCAAACTTCCCTGAGCATAAAACACTTCCAAGGTCACTCATTTTCAGTGTGTCACATTTTGCTGCACGCCAGCCGCCGTGCTAACCTTCTGTTTCTCGCACATTGCCTCAGAAAATAGCATTTAGTGGCTTTTTTGTTGTCTGCTTCAGCAGCAGACTCAGAACCTTTGTACAAGGTTTGATCAAGGCCCTCGATGGCAGAAGAGTGGACAAGATGTCTGCTGAGCATCCTCAAAGTGCGAATTAGAAATAATTACTGAGCCCTAAATTCATCTCGTTCTCATTAAGTAGCTCATGACAGAAGAAAAAATTTCTCTAAATTACATGTTCAGTCACGCAGTGCATTTTAGAAACTTTTTTTCCCATCTTGTCCAAGTTCACATATTATCACTTTAACCCTAATAGAAACTGTAATGCTGTTTGATAGTTACGGTGCATTGCAGCTAATGTAGTTATATTTTACACAGACAAATGTAATGTAAGGTTTTATTAGTGTTCCTGTAATTAATAAAATGACTGCAGTTGAATTTGAGTCTGTTCTGGAAATTGTGAATGCAGCAGGTCATTAACGATGAAATAAATTATTTTGTACTTCTCTCCTTAATACACGTTATATTATTTCAAAGGTTTTTAACCTGTTAACCATAAGCTGTCCATTTCAACATTTTTGTTTCTAACTTCAAATTAGTGATGCCATAATGTTGCAAAACATGCTTATAATACATAATAGATACCTGGAAACAAAAACTGAGAAATGTTCCTCTGCACAAATTAGTCCATCTCAAAAGTTTGAATATTGTCATTTTTTAAAAAAAAAAAGTCATACGTTTCTTTGAATTAAAAAATGTAAACTATCATCAGTTCTCCATTCATCATATATATCAATATAGCCGAAATAACAGATTTCTGAAAATCAGTAATCAAGTGTCTCAAGTGTTCTAATTTGGGTTTGCATAAACAGCTATTCATGCAACGTAAATACCGAGTATCACTGAGTTTAGTTCAGTACATGTGACCTCAATCATGGACAAGACGTTAACTTGAAACTTGTTCAAATGACGTGTGGGGTAAACCACAGAAGTTAATTCCAGAAAGGTTGGTTGTTCACAAAGTACTGCATTGAAACATATCAATGGAAATTTGACTAGAAGGGAAAAGCATGGTAGGAAAAATCCTGAGAGTAAATGTCTGAAAACGTTGATTCGATGAACGATGGGGCTGGGCTCAGTATATCTAAAGCTAGATGTCGTCAAGATAGGAGTGGGAATGCTTGTGCCAAATCATATTGTCCGGAACAACAACACTAATCCGGGCATGTCTGAGAACAACACAGTGTGCTTCGATTTCACACCTAAAAAGAGAGTTACTTCAACAACCTCCAACAAGCCACAGTACTTTACATAGTGTATGTGTTAGTGTGGTGGAAACAGAAGCTCACTGAAGCTAGAGTGTTTAAAGACTTTACTTTTTGTTTTTGGATGGGAGACTAATGGCCTGTGGTAAAATTGGTAGACGTTAAAGTACTTCTTTGATATAAGAGGCTTAGATATATATAGCTTTAAACTTTATGAATACTTTTCTTTTTCTTGGTTGTTAACTACATGTTCAAGCTATTTAAGATAAGATAACCTTTATTAGTCCCACGTGTGGGAAATTTATTGTTTACAACACAGACCAGGAGGTCTCAAAGATTGAGTCTTGGAGTAGTCAGTAACTTTCAATAAATCTGTGGGGGAAAAAATAAACTTGAGAAATATTTGTATCAAATGATTATAGTAAGCGTGCTCTGAGATAGTTTTGGAAGAAACGAGCATAAGGGGTGTAGTCAACATGAAAGCATGATGGCTTTCAGTTTTGACGTAGATGAATTATCTGTTTATTAGTAGCGATCACTGGCATTTTACAGAAATTCATCTTAGCTAGTGGTGCCTTGACTTCCCACTTCCTTCTTTTTCAAAAAGGCTAACACCTATTTGCAGTTTTTTTTTAAAAGATGATTTTCAAAGAGGTGATCAAAGGACTCTTTGAAGATCCTTAAAGTAATAAGTATGATTGGGATAGGCCAAGGACATGTGTGTGGGTGCGTGCATTCATGCACGTGCCTATGAGTGATCCAAGTGCACGCACTGGCATAAGCATGTGAAAAAAACTAGAGTCGATGCTCTTATTTAGTATTCATCACGAGGTGAATCTGTAGGTCATTTCATCAGATTAGTGGACTTGTGGTTAAATCTCATTACATCCAATCAAGGTCAGACACTGTCAGAGCTTCTGTAACTTTCCCAGCCATTGATCCTCATGGCTGTGTGTGTCCAGATGAGTTTATGTGCATGTAAGAGAATGTCTAAGTTTGCTGTCTACGCTTTCTTGCAAACATCAGAATAGTATTAACAAAAAAATGTGTGTTTCTGACTAATCTAGTATTTTTTAGTGCTTGACTACACAAGCAACCATATTTCATACTAGGGCTGGGCCATATCATACTGTTCACGGTAATACCGGTATAATGTTGGGCAACGTTGGAAACTGAAATATCGCGATAGAATATGGGTAAAACGCGCATGCGCAGTGCCTTTGTTTTCATACGCACACGGCAGAAAAAGCATGGCGGCGACAGCAGATCATTGAATGAAACGGATGAACCAGAATTGGTTTGTAAAAAGGCTGCAACTTCAGTGGTGCGGAACTGGTTTGGCTTTCATCCGTCAGATACACAACAAAGCACTATTTTTGGTAGAGCATGCTAGCGGGCCGTCGTTATTACCGTGTTTTTTGGAAAATACGGCACACTTAAAATCAATCCTTTGATTTTTCTGAAAATCGACAGTGCCCCTTATAATCCTGTGTACCTTATGTATGAATTCTGGTTGTGTTTACTGACCTCGAAATGATTTTATGTACACGGCGCTCAAAAATCTGTCAAATGTTTTAGTACGACTTTGCTAAGCTACAAAGCCGCACCACTTGATGGATTGTCGGAGCATTACGGCTATCGTAGGCAGGAGCCTCGCGGAGTGATACGTACTGTGCTTCAACATAATAATACTGTACTGTGTATAACCTCTTTTTAAGTTTTGTGGATATTATACATGGTTATGCTGAGGATATGTCGGCCAATTTCCACTGGAAATGCCTTTTGGTTAAACTGTCAGCAAGGAATTTGCATTGGCACTGTTACATTTTTATATAACTTTAATGCACATAAAAAACAGCTGCTTGTTTAAGTGAAAATACATTGATGGGGTTTTTTGCACTAATAAAATTGAGGAGTTGTAAAGTATTTTGTCTAGTGTCAATTATATCATCAGTTATATCGTTATTGCAAATTTTCAAATGTATATCGTGATAAATATTTTTGGTCATATCGCCCTGCTCTAGTTCATACATGAATCTACTTCACGTAGTGTTTTGAAGATAGTCTTGGAGAAAAGCATTTAATATGACAGTTAAAAAAATCTCGAAAAGATCTACCATTAATTGAGTGAGACAGTCTATAGAAACATAAAGTATATCTGGATTCATTGTTTCTTTTTTGTTACCCTCTGTATTTTATTATCTGAGCCAGTTCTAACAGCATCATCATCATCTTCCTTTTTTTCTGTCTCTCACTCAGCACACTTGACTTTGTCCTAAAGTATAAACTGTATATATCCCCCTTTCTTACAGCCTTCTACCGCCTTGTGTCACATTCTTTACTTTGTCCTTGTGATTTCTTCTGGACAGTTTGTCTCCCACTTTCTGATCTGAGTTCAGTTTAAGTAATGCCTTTGATAGAATTGATTGCCCCAGGAGGGAATCGATGAGCTGATCCCCGAGACTTCGGGTCGCCTGCTGATTAACTATGGACCTCCGATGACGCCTCTGAAACCACACACGCACACTCTCACACTCTCTCTCGACACACACACACACACACACACACAGAGGCAGGCCTCTCTGTAGCTGTCTGTAATTATACGTCTGAAAATGAACCTGGGCCTGGAGGGGATTCTGGAGAAAATGTTCAATCAGACGAGTGCTGGTTGATGCATGAAAGAGTGTGCACAGTGTTCTGCACTGAACGTTTTCTCCAGAGAAACCAGAGAAAACCTACACGGGCATACGGAGGACACGCCAGGTCCAAGCAAATTCAAACAGAGACCGTGCTAACTATTTATTACTGTGCACACATTTTTGTTTAATAGCTGCATCATAAATTGCGATTGAAGTATCATGAATTCACATTGCTCAACAGCAACATTTAAAGTAAGTAAACAAACATCAAACTACAACATATATATTTGAATCAGTTGCTTTCCACTTAAAGCGCTTGAAAAGTTTAATCAAAGTGGCATTTAAACAAAAACACCTTAGCCAGTTATGCAAATTGGTGTAACAAACTAAGCTAAATACTTTGGTGTTTAAGAACCATGTTTAAATACATTTCTAAATATAAATTAGTTTTACATGCATTGTTGCTGCAAATTTTGCTGCACTTTGTAGTCCACACAAGAAATGAAGGAGGTCACAATACCAGAAATGAAGTAGTACCAATAACAGTTGATTTACATGATTCTCGATGATCATCCTAGATACTGAAACATAAAGTTTAGTAAAAAGTATTTTTAATTTAATTTATTAAATATGTTCATATTATATTTTGCTCACAAGGCACAAACTTAAATGTTAGGATGGTTATCGAGTAGGTTGCTAATGTTTACATTATGTTCACATAAGGTTTTAATTTTAGGCATTTCAAACAATTTAGCCAATGTAGCAAAGCTGATTTCACAGTGGCATTGCCAGGAAAATACTCTGGATTAACATTATCACTGCTAATTTTAGCACTTGGCAAATAGATTGTACGTGCATTTTTTTTTTTTTTTTGCATGGTACAAAGTTCCATTCAAAATATGATTTGATTATTGAAGA